TCACAACTGGATCAATAAGCAACATCATGATAAACAGAGAAAAGATTGAAGTTGTCAAGGATTTCATTTTACTTGGATCCACAATCAACACCCGTGGAAGCAGCAGTCAAGAAATCAAATGACACATTGCACTGGGAAAAGCTGCTGCAAAAGATCTCTTTAAAGTGTTAAAAAGCAAAGATGTCACCTTGAAGATTAAGGTGTGTCTGACCCAAGCCATGGTGTTTTCAATTGCCTCATGCATGCGAAAGCTGGACAGTGAATAAGGAAGACTGAAGAACTGACACCTCTGAATTACGGTGTTGGCGAAGAATACTGAATATACCATGGACTGCCAAAAGAAGGAACAAATCTGTATTGGAAGAAGTACAGCCAGAATGCTTCTTAGAAGCAAGGATGGTGAGACTACGTCTCACATACTTTGAACATATTATCAGGAGTGACCAGTCCCTGGAGAAGAACATCATGCTTGGTAAAGTAGAGGGTCAGAGAAAAAGAGGAAGACCCTCAATGACATTGACTGACACAGTGGCTGCAACAATGACTCAAGCATAACAAGGATTGTGAGCTGGAACTGACTCAACAGCACCTAAGAACAACAACCCATCTGTCAGTCTGTTTTACTGTGGTGGCTTCCATGTTGCTGTGATGCTGGAAGCTATGCCACTGGTATTTCAAATACCAGCAGGGCCACCCGTGGTAAACAGGATTCAGCAGAGCTTCCAGACGAAGACAGACGAGGAAGAAAGACCTGGCGATCTACTTTTGAAAAAACTGGCCAGTGAAAACCTTATGGATCACAACAGACCACTGTCCAACTTGCTTGCTTTGGATATGTCATCAAGAGGAATCAATCTCTAGAGGAGGACATTGTGTTTGGTGAAGCAGAGGGACAACAAGGGTAAGGGGACCCTCGGTGAGATGGATGGCCACAAGAGCAACCACAATGGACTCGAACAGGCCTGCGATTGTGAGGATGACACAGGAACAGGGAACGTTTCATTCTGTTGTACATGAGGTCGCCATGAGTCAGGCTGACTTGACCATAGCTATCTATCTACTGAAAGTTGAAGCAGTTGAATGAAGAACCAGCAGCAGGTTTACTAAGCTTCTTCTTCAAGGTGCTTTGTATTTGAAAACTAAAAAAACCTCAATTTGTGATTACAATGGGAAGAGCCATTCCCCTCGATTCTTCCTGCTACAGTCGAATTTTTTAAATATAAGGTACTTTCTGAATTTTTTTTGCCAAAACCCAGTGTAAATCCAAACCTGTTTAACTTTTTCTTTCATGCCCACCATCACCCAGGCAGACAATAATCCAAATCCGGCTCCTTCTGCCCATGAAATATCCCCAGCGTAGCCTTTCTTTCCAGCTCTGCAGCCCCAGCCTGCTCCAGGGTCTCCTCTCGGCATCCCCACCACTCACTCTAGCCCTCTCAACAGCCCCAGCGGATCTTTCTAGCACGCTGCCCTGCTCTGCGCAAGCCCTTCCATGGCTCCCCATCGCCCACAGAGGAGGCCCTTGGACCCAAGCAGCTTTCAGAATTTTGAATTTGTCAGATTTTAGAGAAGCAAAGGGGCAGGTACTCCAAGCATTACAGAACACCCCAGGGGTCCAGGGCACAGCCCCGTGGTCAGGCCCATCCATAGCTCCGTACTAAGTAGCATGTCACACTTGATGGGATGCACACAGCCCAGGAACAGCCTCCCTCCAGTTCAGGATAATGATGCAGCCAAGTGGGCTTGCGCCAAACCTAGGAAAGCACTTCCGGCTTCCAGAGCCATCTGGATTCCTGACCTACAGATAAGGGGCCTGTGGACCTGGATGGAACCGACCACCCCACTCCACTCTCTTCCTCCCACATGGATTGTCTCTCAGATACGCCAGGTGCAGCCCACTTCTGAACAAGCTTAGGCCTTGTCCTCTCTCCCCAGGATGAGGACTCAAGTGCGCCTTCCAGTCCACATATCTGGTCCTCCCCTTGCCCAGCTCAAAAGCCTCCCATGGTTCCCAATGCCCTAGCCTCATCTCCTGCCACGTCCTGCCTCCCACTGCAAGCTCAGCCCCACCTGCTCCCTGTCACAGCAGACCACAGGCTGACCCCAACCTCGTGTCCTCGGCCCAGCATGCCCCCTGCCTCTGTTTGGCCTGAAACATCTCTTCTCATCCTTTAAGACCCCCACTCAGACCGGCTGGTGCTGCCCCCATGCTCCTCTACGCTGCTTTGTAACAAGTCTGGCCCCCCATCAAGGTGAGATCCCTTTGAGGGCAGGGCCCAGGTCTGTCCATATCTGGGTCCCCAGCAGGGTACAGCGAGCCTGGCACCAACCAGAGGCCCAGGAACTTGCTCTCAATGAGGGTGAATGGGTCTAACACTCTGTGCTCCTACCCCCGGGCCTTTGCACGTGCTGTTCCTCCAGCTTGAAATGCCCCTTTCTTTCTCCACTAAACAGACTGCACAGAGCCCTCTGTGACCCTTCCAGGCAAGCCCGCCCTCCCTCCTCTGGGTCCTCCAGCCCCTTCCCCCCTCCTCTCAGAAGCCGCCCACTCTGGGCTGGGACCACTGATGTTCTCCACCACAGGCCTCAGTCTGGTTTCTCTCTGGATCTCTGGCATTGCCCAATTAGGAATGAGGGTTGGGGCAGTGTGTGTGTGCCATGCGTGAGCAGTGAAGCCTCACCTCCGGGAGGGTAGCCGCCGACGCATGCGGTGACAGTCCAGCACCCACTCCTTACGCACGATCCGGCCGCCAAGGCCTAGGACCTGGCTGTACTTGGGGGTGTTGGCAAAAGCACAGCTGGTAGGGGGCAGAATGGAGGGAGGTCAGTCAGGTATGATCTGAGGGGTGAAGGAGACAGAGAAAGACAGGAGACAGATAAGATGGAGAGATGAGGAAGAGAGACACACAAGACACAGGATACAGACAGATATAGGAGAGGCAGGAAACGAGATAGGGAAACTGAGGGAGAGATGTAGGAAGTAGAGAGAAAAAGAGAAAGAGGTAGGAGATACACAGAGCCAAGGAGACAGAGATACAGAAAGACAGGCAGACAGACAGGAGAGCAAGATGGTGGAGACAGGGAGATGGGGGACGATCTGGCAGGGAGTATGGGGAGGAGAAGGGTCCAGGCTTACATGAGGTGGGTGCTATCTGGGGTCCAGTCTGGCCGATACTTGGCCCCCAGCTCTAAGGCTTTGTCCCGGAGCTCTGAGCGGAAGGGGTTCTGGAAGCCGCTCAGCACCACCACCACGCCCTGCAGGATCTTGCCCAGCTCCTGGGGGCTAGTTCGGGGTCCCTTGGGCTTGGTGCCTTCTCTCTGGGGCTTCCCTGGCTCTGTCCCACATGCTGGGGCAGGGACTGGGGCCATGGCTGGGGTATGGGCGGGAGTTGGCACTGGGGAAGCCAAAGAATAGAGGTTCTGTTGGTACCAGCAATCCTGGGATGAAGTTTCAGCCCCTTCCTCCCTCAGTACCCAGGAGTCCAGGCCCCCAGCCCCCTCCTCCTTCAGACTGAGGTCTATACTCTCCTCCTCCCTCAGACTCAGTGCCAAGCCCCCAGCCCCCTCCACCCTCAGACCCAGGAGTCTAGACCCCCAGTCCCCTCCTCACTCAGACCCATGAGTCTGGGCCCTGAGACCCTCCTCCCTCAGACCCATGAGTCTGAGCCCCCAGCCCCCTTTTCCCTCAGACCCAGGAGTCCAGGCCCCCAGCTCCCTCCTCCTTCAGGATACAGCTCAGGCCCCCAGCCCTTTTCTCCTATGGGAACAAGGCATTTCGTTTGCTCACATTTGGGTCTCTTGAGCACAGGTGGAGAGAGCTGGGCTGACGGTTTGCTAGGGGTCTTCTGTTCTTCTTGGTTCAAATCCAACTTCCTCTTCCCCTTGGAGGACTCCTGAGGCTGAGGGGACAGGGGCGGGATGAGTTCTTCTGCTTCTCTCCTCTTTTTCCACCCCACCAGGGTCTGATGGTCTCACCTTGGAGGTACTACCTACAGCCCTGGAGGCCAGGG